TCCTTATTCCTTGTCTGATCCTATGGGCCACCTGGACAGAAAGGAATAATGCGAAGCATAGGGATATTATATTTTCTTGTGCTCACATTATTTTGCAGGTTGACAGACACTTCTCTCTCCTCACCGCCCTGGGTAGACTCACGACGAGAGACTGGACAGGATGTACACCGCCCCACCGTTTGAGGCCACCACCTCCTTTACCTTTCCAGCATCCACGACCCAGGACCGTTGTTTGGCTGAAACCCAAGGCCCCTTGGGTTAAGCTAAACACTGATGGCGCTTTCGACAGACATACCGGAGCTGCTGGAGGAGGGGGCCTGATTAGGGATCATGGTGGGGCACTCATCTCTGCCTCCTCGAGTTATGATACAGAGATTCAGGCGCTCCAGATTGGTCTTGAGATTGCCGCCTCGATCTCCTCCCATATCTGGATAGAGATGGATGATGCAGCCGTTATCACACTTTTGACATCTGGTCACCAGGGCTCATGGCAGATCCAGCATCCTCTTATGCGCATCAGAGAAACCCTCCGCTTGATCCATTACCTGGTCTCACACATATTCCGGGAGGGAAATCGGCCCGCTGATTTCCTTGCTAGCACGGGGGCATCTATACTCTAGAGACGCACTCTTCTTCCTGAGGACATTCCTCTCCAGCTTTGGACGCTCATTCGGATGGACCAGCTAGAGTACCCATCTTTCAGATTTGGTCGACCGCTACCACCTGCCCCTGACTAGATTTGACGATTTGGACCCCATGCCAGGTCACTCTGATCAGGACGACCTTTTATGAGGATTTGATTTTAGATCCACATCGGATATTTTTGTGATCCTTGTACTTTTTACTTTTCTGTTTTTTGATGTTGCCCTTTGTATTTTCGACTTTGATGTAGACTATTGACTTTTCTTAGCCCTCTCTGGGCCATTATATTCACAGGTCGGGGGTGTAGCCTCAACCCCCCATCCCACTCTGGGATGTTTATATATAAAAAAAAATCAAACAAGCTATAAGTTAGCTTATTTGTCTACCAAACATAGTCTAAGATTTGACTTGGTGAACAAGAAATAATTACTTTATTAATTATATATCTTAATTATCGTGGATTTATGTCCAACAAATAAATAAATACATTAATTAATTAAATATTATAATTTCGATGTCTACAATAACAATTATGTATATGTAACTTGAAATTGCCTTTGACAGACAAGTGACTACTGTGGAGTTTATAGCATGTTTGTTCATGAAAATTTTTGGTTTTGATTAGGTTTTTTTGTTTGATTTGGTTAACTTTTAAAAAGGTATTTTGGTTAGGTGTTAGTGGGTAATTAAAATAAAATTTAAAATAAAATAATTAAAATTGATTTGATGTAAAAGTATGAGAGAAATGATTTAAAGTGATAGTTAGTTAAAATAATGTGATTGGATGAATAGTGAATTAAAGTTGACGGAGTTTGTATGATTGATTGATTGATATTATTTAATTATATTGATAATACTGATGATAGTGTAATTAAATTAAAGTTGACTTAAAAAAATAGTTGAGTTAAAATTTTGATATTTTTTTTTTTTT